GAATCTTCATTGGGCCATTTTTTTGACTCTTTTAGAGCGTATCTTACGCTTAATCTGAATTTTCAAGTGTTGTAAAACACTCCTCGGGCAATACATCATACGAGTTATCTAGCTCAAATATCTCGAAACCTTGAAATTAGGATTTTAACTTTTGATTAAAACAAAAATGCCTCAACTTTAAACCCAAAAATCTAAGGAACCACTGCATTTACAGAAAAAAGCCACCAGTCCGTTGATAAAGGAGCTTGGCCCTATCATTTGCGCTATGTCCGATCAAAATCCCTCAGGTAAGGTTGACAAAGTTCCCTTGTCAGCGTTTTTCTCGACTCGATATATCATTGAAATCATCGATATGAAATCGGCTTAAAATTATCGATAAAAATCGATGATTTTGATATAATCGCACATCTCTAATATCAATGTATCGAAATGAAACTAATGATGATTTTAATTTGACACTCAACTGTGTAAACGTTAACATAGTTCAAAATAAGAAGAATGAATGAGTTTGAAGTTGATTGGATTGTGGGACAATCCATCATGCAATTGTGGTTAATCTTTAAATCCGATTAGGGAAAAACAAAGGTAAAGTGACAGTCAACGGGTTAACCTGACAAAGCTAGAATGTTATCCTTCACTTGTCTTTTTTTGTGGTTCACCTCAAAGTCCAACTCACCTTCTTTGCCTTGTTCCCAAATGTTGTACCAAGGGAAATGTCAAAATTGTGGTCACCATCATAATTAATAATGATAATGATAATAATGTTTGTACTTTTTCACTCGTTTTTATCTTGTACACCTTTAGAGCCATCTTGGTGCCGTCGTTCAGTATCTAATCCGGTAACCAAAGTTGAAAATATACCAAACAATCTGACAACAGGCAACACAACAATTGCCTCAAGCAGTGGACTGTCTATCAACATTAATAGTAACACTGTTAATTCTGTCAACCTCAATGTTTCCAGAAATAGTTGAATGAAAATAGTACCCTAACCAGTATCTTCAGTGTAATCTTCACCATCAACCCTATCCTCATCATCTTCATTACCGACAAGCTCATCTACATGAATTCAGTCTCTAGCGGATATTCAAGTGATAACTTTTACGAGTCAATCAATGTTAACCAAATATCTTGCTACTTCAAATAGTGTTTCCAACTTGTGTTAATTCAACATCAACCGCCTATACTGATCATCCTCACAGCCTTCCTTCATTACCATCCTCACCAGTCTAACCATTGGCATCACCATACACCTCTAAATCATCATCTTTCCATCCCTCCAATCAAGAAGAGAGAGATGGAAATGGGAGGAGGAAAAACGAAGAGGGTGGCGATAATGGTTATTGAATAAAGGTAGGGAATGAGATGAGGAATGGAAGTGACCAGAGACCACCAGGGGTAAGAGGACAATCGATTGGGAGTGATCAAGATGAGAACAGATAATCTTTACAAAAATATCTTCGCTCTTTTTTTGGTTGCGATAACTAAATGAGGAATAATATTCACTAAAGTCACTTTACATTGACTTGTAATAAATGTAAACACGCAAGGAATTATTATAATACATTTTACTTTCAACTTGTTTTTTCATAATCTTACTGTATTACATAATCTTTTACCATGTTCAACGGATATCCTTATCCAGGTGAGTTTTTGCAGTGAATCAGGTTTAACCCTGTCATCATCAACATTCATATTCATCCTCTGTTCTCTCACTTGCAAGACAAAATAATGGAGGATATTTATCCTGGCCAAGGACGGCGTAATCAACTTGGTGGTGTTTTCATCAATGGACGACCCTTGCCAAATCATGTGCGTCTTAAAATTGTTGAAATGGCCGCTTCAGGAGTTCGTCCCTGTGTTATCTCGCGAAAATTGAGAGTCTCTCATGGCTGTGTATCCAAGATATTGAATAGATACCAGGAAACGGGTTCAATCAGACCTGGTGTCATTGGCGGTTCAAAACCTAGAGTTGCTACACCAGAAGTTGAGAAAAAGATTGAAGAGTATAAAAGAGACAATCCAGGAATCTTTGCCTGGGAAATCAGGGATAGACTGTGTAAAGTATGTTTAATTGGACTACAATTAACCAAAAAGTGTTTCGACTGTCAATTAATATCATTGTATCTCTTTTTCATTGTAGGAAGGCATTTGTGACAAAAATACAGCTCCAAGCATCAGTTCAATAACAAGGCTATTACGGACATCAAAACAATCAAATGGATATAGAAGTGGAAGTGACGGTGAATGTTCAATGACCGATGGACATGATATAAGGAAAGATCACAGTATTGCTGGAATCCTTGGAGGTAAGCTTTGATTCAAGCTTTAAAAATGCTCATTTCCTCATTTCTTATGCATCTTTCATTTCTGGACAAAAAAATTATCCAAATCTATCCGATAAATTACTTATAGCTTTTAATTTCTAATGTTATGCGTTAATAATGAGTGAAATATAAGATTTACATAGAAATGTATAAATAAGTTAACCTAACATTTTCAAGTGTCTTCATTATCCACTTCGTCTTGATGTTGAACCCATTTTTACGGCAAAATTTGCCAGAAAATCTGATTATCATGCTTTGTAACTCGTCTTCCTTGACTTCCTTTCATCCTCTTGTCATCCTTAACAAATCATTATTTCACAGTTAATTGTCTTTCAACATTAATCTCAAAGTTAACTATTGAAATGACAAAAGCAAGTGACAATATTGATTAAGGTGTTTAAATTTGTATCTGAGCAATTTGTTTAATTTTCATCCCAATTCATGATTCAATCAACAGTCATTCAATTTCATGATGAAGTTGACATGAATACAGTTGACAAGAATAGGGACAAAATTTGGCGAAAAGCTAAAAAATCGGAAGCTAAAATTGTGACCTTAAACTGTTCCGTTACCACGACCAGATGGTTTAATCATTTGAATTAACATTAAATGTATCACCGTATCAAATCATTACAGTAATTACAATTACCTTTTGATATAAGTTAGGGAATGAGAATCGCAACAAACCAAAAGCTACAAAAAAAAGAGCCACAAGTAACAAGGAAAAAGGAAGAAGCTATAAGAATAAGAAGAGAAAGGAAGAGATGAAAACGATGAAGAAGCCGAAGAAGGCCAGCAAAAAGTCAAATGTTAAAGGGAGAAAAGAAGAAGACGAAGAAGAAGACAAAGAAGACAAACCCTACCAAGTCTAGTGTCGACTGTTAATGATAAAAGATAATTATTTACGCTTCTTTTTATAGCTCAATATCACAACTCGAAACCATAATTTCTATATAAACTTTTTTCTCACAAAAAAATCACCAAATTTTACATCCAATATAATTTTGGCTCGTGACGCTCACTCATCATCATCACCCAATCATCCTTTTCATCTCCTCTCCTCATCAACATCATCATCTATTGAGTCTGATTAAGCCAGTAGCTGGCAAAGCTCTTAACCTAGCAAAGTCACTCTTGCCCCATCAAACAACTAACAGTCAGAGCCTTTAGTCAACCAATATCCAATGTCATTTCAAGATTTTCATTTAACAAGTCAAGGGGATTTGAACCCAAAACCTCCATAGTTTGACCTACTCCTTTACCCACTAGGCTACGCCTGATTAGATAATCTTAAGTTTATTAAAAATGATTTTAATGAAAATGCCCAAATTTCAGACCCAAATATCCGAGGAACCACTTAATTTCCAGAAAAAGTACAATTGGGTTTTTCATAACTCAACATGCTCTATCCAATGAGACCTCTCTCATTCAAATCCGTGTTAGGCATGTCGTGCACTTCCCTTGTAAGCCAAGAGACATGAATCTTTGAACCTAAACAAGTCCATCTCTTCCCTTCAAATGCAGCTCAATTGTAGCCTCTAATGATTGTAATTTCAGTCAAGTCTTTAACCATCAATGACCTTAATTTTTGATAATATTTCACCATTTGAAGCAAAAATTTTTATTCCTCATCTTGAACATCCTCTCAGATGATGTTGGTAAAGATGGCCAAGCATCTATCAAAAAAGTATGCAAAATTTTGTATGAAAAAGTGTGTCTCCTTTAACACAATAATAAAGGCGCATAAATTACTTTTCATTCAATGAATTAGTTTCTCTGTCAAGTGCGTCAATAGCATCAAAGGAATCATCATTTTTCCTGATTCCTTTGCCTTCTTCCTTCAATCCCCATTCTCATCTTCATCTATCTTCCATCATCCTCTCTCTCTTTCACTAGGTAGGGAACACTGTGAATGTTAATATTGATCCGAATCGAATCGTTATCATAACCATGTGAATAAAAAAAGTTAACGCTAATTAGTACAATGTGATAATGCCATTTGCCGAGCCAACTTTTCCCTTGCAACCTCATCAATATCATTATTATTATCATTCCTATCATCCATTATAATATTGAGATTCCTTATTCAATTCCCTTTGCACATAAAAATATATTTATATTAGTGAAAAACGCTTTTTCAGCCTTTTGTAATTCATTTCAATTGTCAGATTATCATTCGTTGGTTCCTTTTTTTAACCATTGTACATCAATACAAAGTCAACCTTAATCGAGTCAGCCGTTTGCCTTTTGCTCCTTTTGCGACTTTTTACTCTTCTTTTCATCTTCTTTGTGTTCATCATCTTGTTCATCTTACCGATTGTTAAATTCATGGTTCATCTCTGATAGTAAATCAGGTTTGTCAGGTAATTTGTTATTACACGTTCAATATCATTGTCTTCATCGATTTAAAATATCAACAGTTTGAAAACAGTTCAATAGCTAACAGATTAGATCGATACTAATCTAGTTAATCCATTTGAATATGCAAATCTTTACAATGTAAATGATAAAAAATGTTTGGTTTGAAAATTGGAAATTCAAATTCAGAGATGAAAATTTTCGACCAAAATTGAGCTCATTTTTCTTGCCAATTTGATTACAATAAATGATCATTTCTAGTCACATATTGCTACGCATTCCTAGGCTTGTTTATTTGTATATCAATCCATTGATAATTTTATTCAATTCAATTACAATTAGCATTGTTATTTAAACATTCTTGGATCTGTTCTTTCTTTGCTTCTCTTCAACCTGATTTTAACCTGATTTGAAATGCTTTGGTCACCTTTTACTTCTGTAGCTAACTTTACCCAGTTATCATTATAATGGTTATTTATTATGGTCAATTTAACCCATCATCTTCTGTTAACACTTATGTTGTTAAATTGGTTTGTGTTTTTTAAATTGAAACTTAGCGTAGTAATTGTTTGGTTAACCAAAATTATCAGTTGATTCATGATTTTAAACTTCAATTTATTCAAGTCAAGTTACAATACAATTCAATTCTACTAAAGTTGTAACTAATCAATATAAAAAAGACTAAATATGAAAGAAACAAATATGCTTTATTGTGTTTAATTGTGTTTAATTGTGTTTAATTTTGAATAATCATTTAAGTTTTATGTTAGTATTTAAGATGGTCAAATGTTGATGTAGTTCAAAAAGTAGTTGATTGATTATTCAATCTGATTGTTGAGCTTTTTCAAGTTGCTTTTAGATCTTTCTTAATCCAAGAAAGATCATTTTGTAATGAAAAAATTCAACTTTGACAATATTTGGAATTGATTTAAACTTAAATCAGCTTTGAATTACGAATAATTGATCTTTTGAGGTTAAGGTGTGAGTGTTAAGTAAAGTCACTAATGATAACTTGGTAATATTATACAATAAAAGCTTTAGTTTGTTTTAGTTGTAAGCTGATTCAAGGTGGCCTGGAGTATTGAATTATTGTGATGTCGGTGTTTTTGTTGTCACTTTGCTTTGAATAGGAATGTTAGTGTTGAATAGATTATAATTAGAAGAACATGGAAACGGTCAATGATTTTGAATGAACATTATCAAATGAATTGACATAAAAAAGAGGTAAGAAAGGGAAGAGTGACAAAGTCAAATGAAATGATGATGAAGATGGTGATGATGATGGTATTGGTGATGATTATGAAGATTGGGAAGATTGGAAGAAAGAAAGAAAGAAAAGAAAGACATGAAAAAGTAATGGTCATCGTTATCCTTTCTTCATCTTTCTTCATTTTCCTTCTTTTGCTTCATTTTTGTCTCTTTCTTGTCTTCCATCCTTCTTTTGATCGGCCAAAGGTACCCAAAGGAGAGACACAAAAATTGCAAATGACAATTGTTGAATAGCGTTGAGGTCATTATGAGTTGTAAGTAAGTTTGTTCAACGTTGGCGGTCATCAAGTCTTGTATTGTCCAGTGAATATGTTTAATCCTTGTAAATACTTTTGAAAGTCATGTTTTTCTTGTTCAAATGACAAAAGGTTACACGAAAACGAACAAGAGCAAAAAAAAGACAACATAGAGATGAAAGTGGGAGGGAAGAGGGAAGAGGTAAGAATGAAGAGGGTGGTGATAATGGTTATTGAATAAAGGTAGGGAATGAGATGAGGAATGGAAGTGACCAGAGACCACCAGGGGTAAGAGGACAATCGATTGGGAGTGATCAAGATGAGAACAGATAATCTTTACAAAAATATCTTCGCTCTTTTTTTAGTTGCGATAACTAAATGAGGAATAATATTCACTAAAGTCACTTTACATTGACTTATAATAAATGTAAATACACAAGGAATTATTGTAATACTTTTTACTTTCATATTTTTCTTGTTCTCTTTATCTTTACCTTTTCTTACTTCTAATGGCCTGATGCTATTAGGTGTTAAGGTCCTATTGTTAATAAATCTTGTAAACTTTGTACAAAATCTTTCTTCGGTATTGCAGCAAAGTCGATGGACATTTCAAGAGAAGATAGAAATCTGAGCACGAAAACTGTTGTTAATACAACGAAAGCATTCATCAGTTATTGTTAAACTTTTAGGTGAGGGTCAATGGCGTGATACATAACCTAATTCAGCTTGTTTTTTTTGTTTGCATGTTATTGATGCTGTTGTCGCCTTCAGTGTTATTAGATTATCAACGACATTAGGTCCATCATCAAGTCTCTCCTTTTAGGGTTGACTTTTTTGTGTCCCTATTTCACCAACAATGCATAATATTAATTCCAATTGAGTGATACTTTTGAATAGAAAAATTATTGTATTTTAATGATATTACATTTCCAAGAAGCTTACACTCTTTAGTTGAATACAACTGTTGGAGGTCGACTTTCCTCTGAAGACCGATTGTCGTTTTTCAATTGTGTGTTCCCTTGTATGTAAAATGTCCCATCTCGTCGGCATCCTCTTTAATTTGTTAGGTTAAATATTTTCACCACAAAACTAACCGCAAATGAACAATCACAATGATATTTTGTACAAAAAGGTATAAACACCCAAGTTATTGATGATAAATGAAAAGAGGTGTTGATCTATTAAAGTTAATCATAAACAGTAAATAGTCAACACTTGAAATCCCAATGTTTATCTCAGCATCTTTTTTGTTAGGCCTAGCATCAATGATAGCCTTATTGGTTAAAAATAAATGTAATACAAGATAAAATTTCTTATAAATTGTGTCATCGTTCTGTTTATAAATATATTTTATCACAGTTTTGATAATATTATATTATAAACAGAGGAATATCTTAAAAAGCTAAATAGGTGTAAATGGTATTATCAGGTAATGATCTTTAAGTTAATGATTGAACAAAAATGTTTCCTAACAAACTTATATTTTTATTGGGATCTCTGATGAGGTTTGCTACTTATTTTTCAGTGTATCTTTTGTTCATTGTAGGTATAGATAGAGAGAGAAGACAGAAACATATTCAATACCTTTTTAAGTGTGTTAAGGTAAAAGTTGGGCTTGTATGAGTAACGAAATAATGATTAACCTTTACAATTTATGCTTACCCTTAGGTTAAAGGTGAAATGTACACTAATGAGCTTTAAAATGGGTTACCTTGTGGCAGGTTCAGCTTTTTGTCTCTTTTTAACATTGCCATTGAACAAAAAGTTGGAACAATACGTTCATTTCTTTCAATGGGAAAAAGATAATTTTACTTGATTTTGAGATGCAATTAAAATATTTTAGTCTAACAAAGAAAACTAACGAACAGCCCAAACAATTTAGATAATTTAAATTCAAACTGTTCGGAAAATAGATTTGTATCAAGATCATTTGTAATATTTGAATAGCTACAATACATTTTATGCGTCGCTCTTTTTCCGAGTCCCAAATTAGAAACGGTTCCATTATTTGTTTGTCTAACTTGCTACTATTTTTCCTTTAATTTAGGCCGAAGTGGCGATGAATCCGATTGTGACTCTGAACCTGGGATCCCATTGAAACGTAAACAACGACGATCTCGAACCACCTTTACTGCTGAACAATTGGAAGAATTGGAAAAGGCTTTTGAAAGAAGTCAATATCCTGACGTGTTTACACGTGAAGAGTTGGCTCAAATGACAAGACTTTCAGAGGCTCGAGTTCAGGTTTGGTTCAGCAACCGTAGAGCTCGCTGGAGGAAACAGGCTGGCCATACCCAACAGCATGTTCATCCGTCAACACCGATCAATGGTACATCATCAAACCATGGAGTCACTTCTTTACCCTCTGGCTCATATAGTCCACCTAATTTCACCTCTCCTTATTCAGAATCTTACTCAAGTTATAATGGTGAGTATCAAGTCGCTTGCTTTCTTCTGCATTGAATCGGTTGACCAAAGGAAAGTGACTGATAACAACAGCTAACCATTGTTCACTTTTCACCTAAAAATGAGAGAGAAATGAATGAGTTTGAAGTTGATTGGATTGTGGGACAATCCATCATGCAATTGTGGTTAATCTTTAAATCCGATTAGGGAAAAACAAAGGTAAAGTGACAGTCAACGGGTTAACCTGACAAAGCTAGAATGTTATCCTTCACTTGTCTTTTTTTGTGGTTCACCTCAAAGTCCAACTCACCTTCTTTGCCTTGTTCCCAAATGTTGTACCAAGGGAAATGTCAAAATTGTGGTCACCATCATAATTAATAATGATAATGATAATAATGTTTGTACTTTTTCACTCGTTTTTATCTTGTACACCTTTAGAGCCATCTTGGTGCCGTCGTTCAGTATCTAATCCGGTGGCCAAAGTTGAAAATATACCAAACAATCTGACAACAGGCAACACAACAATTGCCTCAAGCAGTGGACTGTCTATCAACATTAATAGTAACACTGTTAATTCTGTCAACAACAACAATAATAATGGGACAAGTAACAACGGTAACAATAACATCAATGTTTCCAGGAATAGTTCAAATAGAATCAACGGTAATAGTACAAATTCAATCAGCGGTTCATCATCAGTATCATCACTGTCCTCATCATCTCCATTAACAACGACAACCAATTCAACAGGAATTTCAGTATCCAGTGGATATTCAAGTGACAATTTTACGAGTCAATCAATGTTTACCAATTTTCTTGCCTCATCGAATAGTGTATCTACTTGTGTTAATCCAGTTTCAACCGATTATTCTCATCACCCTCATCATCCTCACCACCATCCTCACCATCTTAACCATCCACATCACCATACATCTTTAAATCATCATTCTTTAAATCCATCCAATCAATTAGCAAATGAAACAACAATCGCATCATCCTGGAATCCATCCGTTTTCAGTACGACAACTCGTCATGACAATAATGTACATTCAGCTCCTTCATGGACACATTCCCCTTTCCAATCATCAAATCCAACCCACGAACCATTCAGGTAAATATGTGATTCACTAAGCATAATCTAATTTGAATAATTAAATAATCACAAAACAAAAAAAAATAAAGTCAATTTTAAAAATACGGATCGAGGACTCACCTAAGTAATTGGATCCAGATTCAAAGTACAATGTATCTGATAAAAAATGGAGGGAATATTTATGTTTTTCAGTCAAGCCTTCTGTTTGATTGTTGATTAGTTGAATTTGTTTTAATTAACAATTTTTATAATTTCATTTTTCTCAAGAATTGAGGTGATATAATAAATTTGTAACCAGAAGTGTCAATGGTGTGAAGATTAGCTGTGTCAGCATGAAAATGCTTTAGCAATAGATCTACATTCACCGAGCTTACCATCAATCTAAACCCATTTTCATTTCTATTTCAGTGTACCCAATGATACATTTATAAATTCATCCTATGGTAACATGCACGGAGGACATGAGTTGAGTAAAACTGGTTTCGCATATGGATCAACACAATTACCCAGCTGTAAGTTAATTAAATTTAATCATCCGTTTTTTACTTTGTCAGACCGTTTTTCTGCGTATATTTTTCTTAATCAGACAATTTTACTATATGCTAATACATTAAGCTGAAAAGATGAACATTTCAAATTAGAACCTAAGAGTATGGAGAGACAAAAAACAATATGAGAATAAGGCGTTAAGATTGAAATGTCTAAAGAAGAAAAGAAAAAAGAAAGCGAATTGACTTTCGCCATAAATCGTTTAACCGTTTACTTCAGTAGCTAATATATCTTATACAGCTCCTGTTTTACAACCTTTAAACGGTGTTTTCTTATTTTTTGCCTTATTTTTGTACTTATTTTGCTTACCTTTACCTATCTTTAACCTTATTGTTCAAGACGGTTAATTCTGTTTAAGTATCTCATTGGAAAATGCAGAGGCCTATTCTTAATTTGCTTTCTAAAAGAGTATCTCAATGATTATCATTATTATAATGATACAGCAAAGTCAGTAAAGTCGTCAACATTAGTTATTTTCTACCTACCTTTCGCTTAAAAAATAGTCTAAAATATTGTTTCTTTTTTTAACTCGATAAATTTACACTAATTCATTTATTTATTCATCTATTTTTGCTTCTTCATTTGTTTCCAGGTAATGTTCAACATCCATTTCGACTGCCGGTTTGATTGAATTGGAGGCCTTCAAGTTACCGTTTTTTTTCATCCCAATACACCAAACCAGGATTAGAAGTAAACTGTGAACAGTTTTTCGGATCAAAGGGACGATAATAGATTAATTGTTGCTCACAGTCGTTGTCAATCAATTTCTCATCTATTTTCAAAGCCTTTTCAAGTGAAAAGAAAACTAATATCATGTAGAACATGAAATGTGAAGCTTCAGCTCATAGTATTTTCAAGTTTCTCAAGACCTGTGATTAAAAATGATAAAGGTGATAATATATTTTCAGTAGGACAGAATAGGATGAGTAAAAGATATAGTAATGTTAATTATTGAAAGTCCAAGTGGAGTTCAGTTTAAATTAACCTCCAAGTTGAGGTAAAATTGTAAACACGCTCAAAACCGCCGCCTTCCAACAATTTGTTCATTTACTCTGGTTTCTCTGATTCTTAATACTCACTCATTTTGCTTGTCAAATGTAAAATGTTTCAGTTAGTATTTGAATCGCAAAAGAGCCAGTCCTTCAATTTTTAATTCTCAGTAATCATAATTAGCTTTGCTTTTTCACTTTTGATGAATATTTTGTCATGAATTTATACTTCAATCCATTATAACTTTATAAATATATATATGATATGTAATATCATTTCCATCAATTTGTGTATTCATTTAAATGATAATTTATTACCCAACAAATTAAACATTATTTTTCAACAAAAAACCTGGTAAATCAATTATTTCTTTATTCAAAATGCGCCAAATTTTATAAGAATTGATTAAAGTACCTTAAATCATAATAATTTACACACAATGAAACAATTAATCGGAGAGTTAATAAAAGGGATTAAAGTAAATTATAAAGTTCAGTTCTGCCAGTTTATCAATTTAATTTATGATAATTTAAATAATCGTTTCATAGCAAATGAAGATCAATTTCATGGTATACAATGGAAATGGAGCCGATTAACCAAACTGAATGAAACAAATTCTTGAAATTTAACAAGGAAATGATCAAATCAATAATGGTTAACGTTGAAAATTGCAATCATTATGATTATGGGAAAGGTGAATATTAAAAGTGTTGACAGTTAGTTAACCTTGACGAAATAGTAAAGATATTGAAAGGTCTATAATCAAATTAAATTTAATGGTTAAAAATTAGTTTAATAAAATCATTGATTTAAAAGGTTTTGCAAAACAAATAAAAGCTTAACCAAGTTACAGTTTGTAACTAATGAACTGACCCTTAAGCAGGCGACGAGTGAAAAGGCGAAAACAAAAAAGAAACAGATTGTGTTTGGTTTTGGAATGAAAAAGATGATCATTTTAATCAAGATTAATTGATAGTTAAAAGAGGAATACTCTCTCAGCATGTTGATTTAACCTGTTAAATTAGTTGATTGTCTATTACCTGACAATAATGATGACTTGTCTTCAATAATTAATTAAACCGGAGCCATTTTTATTTTTACTTAAACTCAAAAGCTACATTTATTGGGTGCAAAGAGAAAGGTAAGTCCATAGTCTTTTGTTGCTTCCATCATATCAATATAATACTAATCATCATCAAAATAATTATAATATTAAAAGGTAGAAATACTTGGCCTCATATTGAGTGAAGAAGAGGATAGACAAGTTTACCTTAAAAATACTAAGAATAAGAAGTTAATTGTGAATTCATTTGTCATATTTTCATTAATCATGTTTTTTGAAAAGCTGGTTGAAGGTAAACCTGAAAATCTCTTGTGTACACAAATCTTTCACTTTGCCACCAAACTTTCTTCTTCTTCCTCTCAGTATGAGTTAAACCCAAATTCATTTATCTCACCAAATATTACAAGTTAACTTGATGATGATTATGATGATGGTTTACAGAAAAACAAAACAAAACAAAAAATACGTATGAATGTGTGTGTGTGTGTAACACCCATGTGACTCGACATTTTCTGGATAATCTTTTTTTCCTTCTGGTTATTGAGGGTTAACCATTGTTTTGTTTTATGCATTTTTCTTCGTTAATCTTGAGAAAATATTAAATCAATGTTTGATGTATTTTTTATTCTTCATTTTACACCAGGTTCTTTTTGCCTCCAGAAGGATTGTCGAGGTGAGAAGGTGGAGAGGGAGGAATCAGGAGAGGAGGAGAACCATCATGGTGATAGTTGAAGTTTTCACAGAAAAATATGATGCCGATGATGATGGTGAAAACTTATGGGAGGTCTTTAATCATTATTCATTTTTCTTCAAAAAAGACAGTTAATACGAGAATTGGTTATGGTTTATTAGTGTTAACTTTTAAATTAACTTTATTAATCAAGTACAATCCAAACCCGTTTCCATCCATTATTCAAATCCTTTTTTGCTTTGTTTCAACAGTCACACCATCGTCCATTGATAGATTTGACTAAATATCGCTGGACACAAGGAAATTGTCAAGATGTTACCTGTACACATATTAATAAAGACTGCCAGGTTAATGTGGCCTCAATCAGTTTTTATATTGAAACAATAATAGCTGCTACTGTTGGTCATGTTTACCTTTGATAACGTTACAAATAATACAGACGCCTACCAGTTATTTTACAATATTTGGTTAACCGAGTTGAATACTTGCAAATGAAATGGAGTTAAATGTAGTATTAACTAACTGTTTAGCTGTCTAACCACAAATGGTATTGCAAATTATGGTTTTACGATGGATAATATGACTTTAAAGATTATATCTCCCAACATTTTTCAAGGGTAACCCTATTCACTGAGGTAAAAAACAACAACATAAAAAGGCTGAAATTAACTCAAGGCTGGAAAAAGATGTTAATTTAAAGCCGCCGTAGATATTTTGTTTGGTTAAACAATGAACCGTAATGTATATAGTTCAACTAACAAAATTGTAAGTAATATACTAATGAATATGATTAGACATAACAAAAGTGATAAAATTAATTATGATTATTTGATTCTGTTTTTTCTTTGGTGTTTCAGTATTCCTGTTGCCATTGCTGTTGTTAAACTTTGCTCTTCCATTGACCTTCAAGTTTAACCAAATTTAGGAGTCCTTTTGGTAACACCGAGGGCGGTCCTCAGGAGGGAGGAAGAGGTATAAGGAGCAAAAGATGTTAATGATGATGATAAGGAAGAGAAAAAAGAGTCTAAAATGGAAGGAGTGATTCAATTCTTGCAGTGAAATATATAAGGTTCTTAAAATTTTACTTTGCAACTATCATTTTTCACCCAAAATCAATTGGACAAATTGATTTCTTCTTCTCTTACCTGTAGATTCAATCTTTCTTAAAATCTTGAAACATTTACCTTTACCTTTATCTTGTTCTCCTTTTGTTTAGGTAAAATTAATGATACTTTTAAGACACCAAAGGAGGAAACAAACCAAGCCAAATCAATCTGTCATTACTAAATTACTATGCTTTTCTAATCGTTCCACTTTTCTGCCTTTACCAAACAAAGATCACTTCAACATGATGACATTGTTATAATTAAAGCAACAAGTGGTAAATATATTAATCTGAAATGAAAATGAAAGAAATTGGTTTTCCCAGCAAAACTGTAATATCTAATGTTGAACATTGAAATAGATACAGCTTCAAAACTTTCATCTTTCATTGATAATTAATACTATGACCATTCGAAAAGAATAGACAAAACTCATTAATTTTATTGGTAGCAATAAGGGCAATGTCACGTTCAACCCAAAGAAATATATTTGATTTCCAATAAATTTGGATCCGTTTGATTGGAAGTTCAAACATTTATTAAAAATTGCACTATACATTTATTGTATTTTCATTTGTGAGTTCAAATCAATCCATAATATTCCTATTTTGCTACTCTTATGATTTGATTGCAAACATTTTGTAAGGATAATTAGATCTTAACCGAGAAGCTGTACTGAATTGTGCGTGGATGTTGACAAAAAACTTTCCAATCGATGATTTTAAAAGTAATCAAATGCGATGAAACGCAAAAACCGTTTGACAGAAAAGTTTTGAGATAGTGGCGACATCTATTATTTACAAACAACATTTAGGTGATTAATTTTTCTAATTTTTGATCTTCCAACTACTTTGGTTGTTTGGTTTATTTGTACAATTAAAGGTTATGTCAACCATTGTTTCAAAGATAATTTTTGCTAATTTTTGTTATTAAATAAACTCTAATCAGGAAAAATGACTTGTTTTCATTTTGTTCACGGTTCACTTTTCTGGTTTCCTATTCAATTGGTTTTGTCAAAGTTTTTTAAAAATATTTTAATAAAATGTTAATTTTACTCCAATATGCAAAAATGTTGCATTGTTCACAGCAATAAGAAATTAACTTAATTTAAAAATCAATGTGGCTTTGCTGATATAAGGCGAAAATTAAATTAAAATTGAATAAACCAAGTCAGAATTCTTAATCTTAAAAATTAGTGAAACGAAATTTAATTACTTTAGTGAAATATTTGCCAGATTTTTATAAGCCAAATGTCAAAGCACAGTTACATTCCGAGTTTTCCGGGCCATCGAATCTTTTCGTTAAATGACTTCCGATGAGTTTTTATAAAGACATATGAAAAAAACGAGTTCATTTCACGAAACAATTATTTTTTTGTTTTAATTTTCTTCCATTAATCAACCTAAACCCAAAAATTAGCTTTACAGTCAAATGATAGCTAATAAATGGACTAAAAAGCTGGATACAAATCAGAAAACACAATTTACTGTAACTCAATCATTTTCTCGGCCATTGCATATGATATGCTTTCATAATTTGAATAATGAATTATATATTCTGATTATTCTGATTAATTTGCCGGCGAGAATCAAGCAATTTATTCTGAAAACATTTCGCTTATGAAATTCAATTCAAAACCAGTCAATCGTTTTAGTTTCCGAAGAGATTTTTTCAAGTTCAATTTGATTATCATTCATCTCTTACAAATAACAATTGTTGGGCAATTTAATTGAATTGCGAAAAAAGATCATAAATTAACGACCGAATTTCAAGTGTTTTTTGTTTGTGTATTTATAACACAAGGGTTACGATTAAACACTTCAAAAAACACAATAGCTTTACAATGCAACCAACTCAGCTGTCATTAGTCTTTACACTTAATAATCGTTTTTTATCATTTTCATCAAGATTGATCAATTAAATCAGTTCATCCAACTGTTAGTTCGTTCGAAAGATTAAAGACATTTCAAAAGTGTCCAGATTGATCTATTAATTGCGATAAATTCATGACTGATTAACAATTATCATCTGACGAAACAATGGATTGCGGTAATCTTGGAAACACAACTTGATTTGAACTCAGGACTGACTGAATTACAGATTGATTATTAGCTTTAAGGGTTAGTTTATCAATAAATTATGTTAACATTACCTGAACTTCAAGATTTAAATGAATGATAGTTTCAAGTATTTTTAAAGCTAAATGTGACAATATTTTACTGACTTAATATTAAAATAATAGTGAATAAGAATAGTAAAGGAAATGTGCAAACAGTTTGGTAAATTGTTTTTACAATTAACAGGTGATGAAAACAATATATATAAATGTTTGTTTGAAAAGGATATTGAGTAAAAGTGGAAAAGAGGTAAAATGAAAGGTAAAAAGGTAAAATTGTTAGATAAATATCATTTGAACAAATCTTACAAACAAATTGTTTTAAAAATAGAATCTGATTATTCAAATTTAAGGAAAATATTGACAAATGAAAGAAGGAAGATTCAATGATTAGATAGGATCACTTTAAGTGAAATTTTGTGCTATTCTTTCATCTAACTGATTGTAGGTCAATTTAGATGGTTTCAATTTTATCTGATTATCTAAAGTTTCCTTTTCAACTGAATCTTTTTCCTTCTTTCTTTTTTGTTTCAATCCTTTCTTGCTTCAATCAAATTGACAACACAGAAGTATTTCAACTGTTTCAAATGGATTGGTGACTGTAATCAACAAATCATTTCAAAATGATTGACCGTAAAGTTGATTTTTTTTGTAATATGCTTGTTTATATGTTGAAAGGTCTCACTAATTTGGTCATTGATGTTAAATTTGTTCAAGTGTAGCATTTAACACATTTTGCATAAAAACCATGATAATTCAAACGTTGATCACCACTTAGGTGTAATCTAACCATTTCTAAAACGTTGGTACATTGATTCCAAATATTTCACAGTCTAATTGTAAAATGAACTTAAATTTTTGACGATAAAAAATATAAGTGAAAGATTCTTCTATTGCGTTTTCCTATTATAGCATTGATTTCATTGAAGGTGCTAATGATTCCAGTGAAATTGGAGTTAAATGGCCACAAGATAATTGAATATTAACAAGGCAACTGCAAATCGGCCCATGAAGCTCTAAGCGGTTGAATTTGACGCATTTTGATCGTGATTCAACTAAAAGGCCATCGTTGTCCTCAACTGGATCAGTTCCAGTGTAATCAGGTTCATTTGGGTAAGAATCATCTCCTGGCAGTAAAGAAAGCGCTCCGTCATTGAAGGTTGATATAACTGGTAACCAACGCTCAACTCCTAATGTTTCTCGGGTTGAAACAAAGCTTCGGACACTTTTGAAATTGGGAAGATGTTGAAGTCGAGATAGTTCATATACTTGAGGTGGTGCGAGAAATATATTTCCTTCGGCGTGTTCCGTTAGCATTTCAAGAGGTGAACACCACTAAAATAAAAAGAAAAATGAAAAATCGTTAATTGTCTTGGTTTCATTCAATAGTTGAAATTTTGTATTCAATAATTGCTCTTACCTTTAATGTTGTCACCTCTTTATTATCCACAACAACATTTGGTTGTTTATCGAGGCAACACACGTAAAACATTGTGTCAAATCTTCGATGGCCAACTGATTTAGGTGTCAACCAGTCCCACCATTCATATAAGGACCAAATATCTGGAGATTGTTTTAAAAATCGACAAAGCTCAATAAAGTTAGACCCATTTGAATGGACCTTTTCTCGCCATTCAGATAATTCAATAGGTGATAAATCATTATTGGTAAGTGATCCATTTGAATTGGTTTTATTGGGTGAGTTGGTCAGTAAAAGGACTCCTGTAAAAGGGAAGAAAGTCAACAGAAAATTAGAAAAACTTGTTAGAATAGACAAGATCTTGATCTTGATTAAATTATCGATGTGCATTAACAAGACTGATCAATTAACCTACAAAATGGGATAAAACGTCATTACTTTGTAAATGGTAATTGGCTGATTAAACATGAAATTGAAATTTCCCAAAAAGGTAATTAGGCTAAGTTCTAGTAATTCTGAATCAAAGATGTCTCCGATAAAGAGCCTAGAAATAAACAGAGAATGGATCACTTAATTTGATATTATCATTTAATCTTTATAAACTGGTCTAAAGGTAGAGTTTAAAACTGCAATCTAGGTAAAACCCAGGGGCATCTCAGAATATCTTATCTTAAATTGAACTTAACCAGGTTAAACTGAACTAAACTAGATGAGATTAGGCTTATTGAATGACCAAAGGTTGATGACACAAACCTGTTTCTTCGAAAGTCTCTCGAATTGCTGTGATTCTAAGCGATAAATCAGGTGGAAGTGGGCTTTGTAAGTCTAATTTGGTGGGTACGGGCATAGTTAAAGGTGAAGTGATCATTGGTGGACGAGGACCCTTTGTTCGACTCCTTATGCTATCCACTAATTGTGATTGATTAAGAGAACATGTATCACAGAATATAGACCACCATTGAGATGAATAATCAGATGCATCAACTTTACCACCAGGAAAAACAAATGCTGAGGCCAGGAAAGACGCAATATTGCTTCTTTTAACCATCAAAAGACGATAATCAACTGATCTTGGAAGAATTTGAGTTCTTGAATTGGATTTACAGGCAACTAATTGTGTGTTTGGTACAGATGAAGAAGATGGGGTTAAAATTGTTGATGGCAGAGATGGTGATGACGATGAAAATGACGGCTTTGATGTTGGTAAAACTCGTGAGGTTGCAATCATGTTTTCACTTAAATTAGATCCTACAATTTGTGGGACAGAGGCTCGTGTGACGATAATCAGAGAGGCAGCCTCTCGCCATGGCAGAGGATTTGAATCTTTAGTCTTTGAAGAAGCCATCAAATTATGTTTAAATAAATCCTAGTGATTGTAAGATTTCACAAGTTGCAACGATGAGTCCGAGGTTAAAATAGCGCCAAATCAAACTAAAACAGATGGTGAATAAATAACGGTACAGATGATGGTAGATGAAACATTAACTATCTATTCGTTCACAAATAGTTGTCAGAACTGATCAACAATATTAAATGGTTAAAAAAACAAATCAACGATCAGCCAAACAATAAGACACTTGAAGGGACCAAATTGCTAAAACAGTCAACAGGAGAAAGAAAAATCAATCGGTTCAATACTTTTTTTATAGAGGGCAGCTCTTATGAAATCGAAAGTAAGAGCAATCACAAATGACAATGACAATGACAGTTACAATTAAAAGTTGTTTTTAAAATAATTTTGTGTCAAATTTTTTTCACTGTTGCTCAACAAATTGTAATGATAAACCTGAATTTGTGTGAATTGGCAACCAAACTAAACCTGAATTGGAGGGAAACCAGGAGAGAGAAACATCAACATAAAGTGAGATGAAGAAAAAAGGTTGGACTCAACAACAGCATGAATGAGGATGGTGAAAGTAACGATAAAAGTGATGAAGAATCTTTTCATCCCGTCTTAACCAACATCAGCTTTTCCGGATTTCATTGAAAATAAGCAATCAACAACAACAACATTAAATAACCTGAAAATGGTCTCAATCGAGTGCTAAAAGCTACAAAATTGAAATGTAAAACATATTGAAAAAGGCGCTTACAAACTTTCAATGCAAAAACAAAGGCGGAAATCATTATTAGGAGTGACTCTACTCTTTTGCTATTTTTTATACACGATTATGATTTAATTTACCTGTTTATCAATTGCAGGTTACTTGTGAATTTTAGTTGATAACTTAGCAAAGGTTTAATGTCTAAGGTCAACTGTGACGTTAATCAATAATACTTAAGAATACTGTTGGAGTCAATGAATGTAAGCCGATATAAAAAGTAACACTGACCTTGCTTCCGATTCAAGTCTAATTATATTTCAATCACAAGCGACCTCATTTTTCATTGACTTCATTCAATTAACCTGGTCAAAGTACTGGTTAGTGATAGTGATTATTTAGGCCTATGAGGTCAATCAAGTGAAAGAAATAAATAGATTTTATGAATAAAATGAAAGTAAATGGACAAAAAATGGTTGCTTCAAAACAAAACCCAACTCATCAATACAAACAATAATTATACATTTTCAAACTAATGCTCAATCATCAATATAAGGTATCATTATTGTAGTAACTTTATTATCTAGCTAATCATAATCTTGATAATCATAATTGACCATCTTTGATTGTAGCAAAGCAAAAATATTTAATATAAAACTGTTGTCCCACTAAAAAAGATGATTACTAATGGACTTAACCGGTTACAGGTTTCTTTGTTTTCAGTTAACATTCACTTCTTCCATGAACCCAATTTAACCAGTTTAATTGTATTGACCTTTACCTTTAAATTAAATTTCGTCTTCCTAAATGGCAACGAAAAAGCAAATCCAGACATTGAATAGAAGCTAATTTACCCAAAATTGGGTTTTCATGAATAGACTGGTAAAATGGTTAGTCAAGTGTTCATATTGAACCACTGCAATACCAAAGATTCAAATTGTCTCCTCCTCGTTGTCGTTGATTGGTAAAGAATGCAAATTGCTTGGCATTTAACATAATTAATCAATCGATTTGATCATATCCGGACCAAGAAGGGAAGCTCTTGTTTTAAAAATGATAATACACCAATAATAACTATCACAGCAATCAATTTGTCTTTCTGCAAATGTTAGCAATTAAAAGTTAGATCCTTTAAAAAATAGACAATTTTGGTGTCAATATTTGTCTTTAAACCCAATATTCACCAGTTTAACCAAAATCACAATGTTAACATGCAAAGATTCAAGTAAAAGGTACAATTCATTTATGATTAGTGATATTCTGGACAGTCTTGAAGATGACAATGTTATTAAAGAGTCAACAGTTAATATGAATGATGATGACGATTTAAGTGATAATTTAGACCCTGTAATACACAATGACAGTGACCCAGTAAACTGTATCAACTTTGACCAGGATCGGTTGAGACCAAGTTTGGACCAGATTGCGTTAAGACATCACCTTTTAAATTGTTCAAATTTACCAACCAATGGATCATTTTTGGCTAAATGTAAGTTACCTAATTTAATGAATCAGTCAGTTATTTATTTTAGTCTTTTCTTGGATTGAAATTAAAATCTTTATTGGATAATGTTTTCTTTTGTAGATTATCATGAATTGAACATTGAATCGAGACACGCTCATATCTTTTATGAAATTCAATTGCGCCGTAAGATGATGTTACAATCTAAACCTCGTAAAGGTGGACAGATACGATTCACTCATCAGCAAACTTTGGTATTGGAAGATAGATTTAATCGTTATCATTACCTGAATTCAAGCGATCGCCGGTTACTGGCTCAAGAATTGAATCTAACTGAGAGACAGGTGAAAACATGGTTTCAAAATAGGAGAGCCAAAGACAGGCGGTCAAAGGTTAACTCTGATTGTGTTAATGCCATCAAATCTGGATCACATTCAAACAATAATAGCTATTTTCATCCTTGGAGTGATGATGAATCAATTGATAAAATGGATTCAAATTGACTTGAAACCAAAGTTAACCCAATAACCATTTACTGTAATTTTGCTGGTTCAACGTGTCAACTCATGAAATCATTAAATGAAACAAATTGCTTAACTGGTATTACTAATTGTCTAACCATATTCTTGACTTATCCTTAAAATATGAGCAACATGATTGTCTGTGAGTAAAAATTTGGGCCTGAAAAATTCCCTTTAAATGATAGTCGTGAAATGATGTTGACGTGATTGACGCATTTGTCTTGCCTGATACCAATCCACAGCTTTTATCAGGTTGAAACACAAGGAAATGAGGTGTTTAACTGAACATAAACACAATCAAATTGGACCTAGGAGATAAATTAGGTTAATCTGTAAAGTTGATCTTGAACAGGAAAACGTTTAAAATGGGAAATAGATTCACAGATTTGTATCAACGGATATTGGAAGATTGTTGCTTTTAGTTGGGCTGGAAGTGAACCATTTTCAACAATTTATTGCACATCTTAGATTTATGTTTCAAATTATTTTAAATTATCTTAAATTATTTAAATGATTAAGGATTATCAAGAAATAAAATTTTATTCATTCTTATAAGAGTTTAATTTTGGCGCTCAAAAGATTACAATCGGTTGAATAACCATTGATTATTCAACGATTATTAACCATATAATCGTTATGAAAATCGTAATACATATGTTCGTCTTTTTATTTCTCGCTTTCCTTTTCAATATCAGATGTTTTTTACATTTATGATTTACAATAATTGACAATCAAAATTTAATTTAATGTATTTTCGTGAAACAAATTTAATAGTCAACTACAAGCCCTTCTAAAACATGTTTATATTGTGATGCATCTAGAATCATTAACAATTGTAATCGATTATGATCAATGGGTTTAGCATCGATCTTGGCTTATCTTACAATCATCTTATCAATTTTTCGTACTTATTGTTTCATCTTTAATGCATAGTTTTTGTTATTTTTGTTTTATTTATGTTTTCTGGTTCGCAAAATAAATCAACTATGAACTTTGACTTCGAGGACAAACCAAGCTTCTATTGGAACCATTATTAGAGACGAGTTGGGTGAAGTTCATGACATCAAGAATCTCATCATTTTTTACCAGACATCAATTGTTTCATTAACATTGCTATGTTAATCGTAAGTAATGATCTTTAGATGAAACATACACTTTTCACTTTCCAATTTAACTCTCTTTTCACTTCATTTCAACTTTCTAAGAGACTTTTCTAGCCAATATCTTCTATTGATTTACAATTTACAAACAACACAATCAATTAGTGATTTATTAGTATCGTTTTAACAATAATCACGAATGATGAAGACAGGCCACCAATGAGTTAATTAGTGTATAGCGCTGGTAAATTCTTGAAAAATGGAATAATCAATCAATGGTCTTTTCAGTTCTCAGCTTTTTTAGTTGACTTTACCCAATAGTGTTGCTTTTAGGCAAGGGATCAACATCATGACAGTTACTTTTAACTCGAGCTTAGACGCATTCAATCTCCTTAGCATCTTAAATTTTTTTGAAATTGTACTCTTTGTGAGCATTTGGATTTTTATTATTTCACCATCATTGCAAATTAATCAATCAGCCCTTGAACACTCATTTCACTCGTGAATATTGTTTGTTATGTAATGAATATTGTATCTCATAAAATGTGTTTATTGACTTAACACACTAACTGTTGAGTACAAAATAGATACAATCATTTTCATGATCGTTCGATTAGTTTATTATGAATTGCACTTGATTAAAATCCTATGATCACTACAATTGCGGGTGACCTTTGGTTCGTGATCATTAAACCTTTAATATTTCAAGTGTCTAAACTCCGTTCATCTTGTCATATCTTCTAGACGATTAAAATTTAAAAGTTATTATCACCGATCAATAATAAAATTATCTATGAATATTTATGCATGATATATACATTAAAGATGCAACTGGAACTTTTAAATAATGCAAATCCATTCTGGTCTTGATTTTGTACACATTAGATACTGACTTATAAAATCATCAAATTAATAAATCTTATCTAAATAAATTTGTTCTGGCTTTGTTGGTGGCGGTTGAAGCTTTTATTATTGATAGTTATCATATTATAATAGCAATAAAAACAGGGCATGAAGAAACAAAAATTCAGAAAATAGCAGAAGAATGGCGAGGATGAAATTTCTAGTTCGAAAATAACTCATTCTTTAAACTAACTCTGTTTCTATTTCTATTTTTATCTTATTCAGAGTTCGTGATTTTATCTGGATACATATCAATATCAACGTACTCCATTAATCATATCAATAAGGATTGGTCAACCCTTTTGTGTTTGAAACACTCGATAGCAAAGCCATTGACAAACCTAGTCGCCAGTTGACGGTCAACGCTCTGTTTTTGTGTATTACCAGTTGAAGTGAAAACCAAAAATGCTGCCTTTCTCGATTACAGTGGAGCCAATAACTCTTCTTTACGTCACAGCAATCAACTGTGAATACACTTTGATTCAATATTCTGTTTCAACTTCTCATTGTCTTTCATTGACCAACTTGACTGACCCTACAATTTGTGAATCACCTAAATCAGCAAATGTTTCAGCTCTAATTAAAGACGATGTAACCATTTCCATGAGATATTACAATTTGGTTCTCTCTTTATGCTGTTCCTTGGCAACTCTTTTTACTGGTTCTTGGTCAGACTATTATGGCAGACGTTTACCGATGAAGTTTGCTCTAATCTCTTCGATGCTTGCTCAAATCCTTTGTATCATCTTCTGGATAACCCTTGATCGTAACTGGATTTGGTTTATTTACGCTGCTGGTCTAGTGTCTGGAATATCTGGTTCCTCATCTAGTTTGATTGCTAATTGTTTTGGTTATACAGCTGATATAACCAGTGTTGAAGCAAGATCCAAAGCAATGGCAACTATGGAAGCAATGCTTTATTTGGGTAATGCGATTGGGTTTACAACTGGTAGCTTGGTATTGAAAACATTTGGATCACAATTGGCAATTGGTTTTTCAATCTTATTCCTGATTCATACCAGTCTCTTTATATACGTACTTTTTTACTTGCGCGAATCTAAATCTTCAACAGACAAAATTACACTAAAAGGCTTATTCCGTCTATCACATGTGGCAACTGTTTTCCGAACACTTGGTAAACCTCGTTCCCAGCCGTACAAAAAATTTTGGCTTCTCACAATCATTGGATGTGCCTTTATCGCCACACTCGGTTCAAATGCCATGACTTCTATTATTTACGTTTTCCTTCGTAATGCGCCCTTACATTGGACCTCGGAATTTTATGGGTACCTTCAAGCATCTAATTATACTCTCGGAGGATGTACACTGCTCATTTTAGTTCCATTAACCCAACGATTTTTCCCTAGACTAGTAAATGACGATCTTTTCGCGTTATTGGGCTTTATATCTCGATCTACTGGTCTAGTTGTCTTAGGATTAGCAACAACAGACCTTCACGCTTTCTTATCACCTCTAGGATTTATACTTTCAGAGCTGACATTACCATCAATAAGATCAAGTTTATCAAAAATTGTCGAAGATGATGAAAAAGGAAAAGCTTTTGCTTTTCTTGGATTACTTTCAAATTTCACCTTCCTCATTGGCTCCCAAATATCCAGTTTCATCTATTATCGAACGTCATCACGATTTCCTGGACTCGTATTCATTATTCTTGGGATAATGGAATTGATACCAGCAACAATCTTTTTCATTAAATACAAATTTTTCAACAAAGCCTTCACTGGGAAAAAGCAAGCCGATTCTAATAGTAATTTATCCTCACGGAGCTCACAGGACAGACAGGATTCAAGGATCAATTCGAAAGATGAAGTAGATCACTCAGACATTGATGTTACTTTAACAACCGGACTCGATAAATTGTCTCATGCATCACTCAGAGCGAAAAAGAAAGAGAAGGAAAGCGAATCGAAACGTACTGAATGTTAATTCACATCAACAATTATCTGTTTTTCTAGTGAATTTTTTATAGTTTTCATTTTTATTGTTTCGGGATATTATTTTTAAGTTGATAATACTTGACAGTAGCAGAATTTTTCAAACAAAAATTTGTCTTAATCATACAGATTACCAATTAATACTTCAATCTGTGATGGACATTCAAATAGTGCCATAAAGAAGGACTTAAATGTCAACCGTTGATTATATTGTATGTAAATAAGCTTGTTTTATAATGAGATAATTTAAATAGCTGAAATTTCACAGTTGAACATGAAAAGCATTCAAAATGGTTTGTTTATAGCTCAAAATGAGTCAACAATTTGTTAAAGCTGATTCCCGCCTCCCACTCTGATTATCAATTTGATTATCATTTTCATTGTAATAACTTGATCTTTTTCAAGTTAGTTTTTATCTTAATATCATCTTTATAATCATGAAAACAATCTTGAATACTTGATCAACAATGCGATTTTTAAATCCTTTAACTTTTCTTCTACTAATGTCAACATTCTGAGCACAATGAAAAATAAATAAATAATAATAAACCATTCTGACTTGATAATGATAAGCCCGCAAGTTTTATCAAATGAAAACATAAGGAAACGGGGCATTTAGCTGATCAAATGATTAAGCTGGACCTAGGAGATAAATTGGGTTAATCTGTGAAATTGATCTTAAACAGGAAAACGTTTAAAATGGGAAATATTAATAGATTGGCAGCTTTTTCATCGACGGATATTGAAAGATGCAACGAAAGTAAACCATTTTCATTGATTATTGTTCATCTTACAAGAATATTGTTAGATTCATGTTTAAACTTGTTTCAAGAAATCGGTTTAAAATAATCAGTTCAAACTATTACAGCAATTTGTTTGAAACATTTAAAAAATGTTATACTTGAAATAGTTATTCGTGTTTATCAGGTTATAACTTGTAATTCAAAACCAAAACAAAGCCTCAATTTCAAGATTGAAAGGGAGTCAAACTTGATATCAATTTATTTGTCTCATCGGAATATCATTTCATGTTTATAATCAAATGATATCAAGTTTATTATTGTTAATAATTAACTGGAATCATCAGCTGACCAGTTAGAGATTAAAAGCTAAACACTTTAATCATTTGGTTCACCGATTTATTGAGTTTACCCAGAATTGAAACTAAACCTTTAGCTTCTTTTTTTCGGCTCATTCAATAATTGGTTTTCCAGTAATTTATTACAATTTGCTGTTGGTAATATTAATCTTTCATCTTAATGGTAACGAAACTTTGTATCCATTTAAGATTATTTGGTTACATTAATTATCATCATCTTAATTATTCATAAAAGGCTGAGTTTTTTTGTTCAACTTGTATTTCTGGTTTAATCAACGGTATGTAAGCTGAATGATTAAGCTTGAATTGATTGCAATCAATTGGATTTAAGCGTGTCTGATGCAAGATTAAAGCAAGTTGTTAGTGACATCAATGTCATTAGAACAAGTTAATTGCTCTTCTTACAGCTATTTTAACTAATTAATTAACACTTTTTGTTTAAAGTTTCACTTTTTTGGTTAGATGGGAGAGTTGAAAGTTACTTGTATGCAAATGTAGATTAATGATTGATCTTAAATTTTACCAAAATAGACAAACAATCTAAAATGTTTACAGTAAATGAATAGCGTTAAAAACTAAATACATGAAATTTAATTGTTTCCAAATTAAAGGAGCAGGTCAAGTTATTAACACAGTCAAAGTCAACAAGTTCATTTGTAAGGAAGTAATAAGATTGTAGTTATAGCTTTTCACGTTAATCAACTATTAACTCTTATGATCTCTTCCTTTCTCAGATGAAATTTCTCGAGAATTTAGTTGAATTACAATGAAGGGTCGGAAAGAGGAACAATTGTAATTAAGATAAAATAATTTTCCGATAATAGGACAGTTTTATATTATATTACTATCTGAATCATTTAAGACTTGATGATTTTCCTTTCCTGCATCGATATAAAAGAAACAAGATTCTCAAGGTTTTCATCAATCAATTGAATCCTTTCAATAATTGAATGGAGCCGAAGGTTAATAGTCTTTTGGGAAGGTTAGTTATTCAAATTTCACGATTGAGTTTCAGGATCGAGCCACATTAAACTGGAACATTGATGATTCACTGTTAACTGTTTGCACTTTTCTTTTGATCTTTATAGCTTGTTTGCTTTGTGTAGTCTTATGAGTAAAAGTGATGATTTGATTGATGAAGCAAAAAAAACTTTGCCAAATATTGGTCGATGACATGATGATCCAATATTGAAATCACTAGATGTATCTTTTTGGGTGAAAAGCGAATGAAAATGATTAGGCTTGAGAAAAAGTGTTTCAATACCTTTACGACTTAGACAGGCATTTAATTTTACAATCTGCTTGAGCACACCAGATAACAATCGGTTCTATAATTAATTTTACAATTAGATTTTTTACAAGTTTCCGGAGTGCATAATTGATTGGGCTGATTGGGTAATATGTATAGTTTGTTTTAAGTTCAATTAGGAAAAGCAGTCGCTGCACTTAAACAGGAGAAATGGTGACATTTATACCCAGATTCGCACCATCTGCAAAAAGATTCGCAATACTTGTGTCAAAAACTAAGCAATCAGATAGATTAATAGCACTCTGAACACCTTCATCGATAGAATGTGGAGTTGCTTCCCATGTTAATCTTCTTTTTTGTCCGTTTAATTCGAGACGATAAATAAATTTTTCTGCTTGCTTTGGAGTACCAATGAGTTGAACAACTGCAAAAAATTGTTGATACGCTTGGAATCGTTCTTGTTTCTCTAAAACTAGCATAAAGTGGTGATTGAAACATGATTGAATCATAACCCAGTCAACTGCTCCGCTTAAATTTATATCAGTAGCTAGGAAAACTATATCTTCCCCTTGTAGCGTGGTAATACTTTTATGCTGGGTCATCAGATGGTGCATAACTTGCTTCAATGGACCATTCCATTTACAATTGCTGCCTGTAATTGTAAGGTTGAAGGTAAAAAAGAGGTAAAGAAAAAAAATTAGAGAAATTTAAGTGAAAGGAAAGAGAGGATGAATACAATTAAATGAATGATGGCAGTGATGTTAATTTGAGCTTTTTACCGATTGTGAATGACGTTTATATTGTAAAAAGTATAACTAATGTCGAAAGAACAGTAAGGACAAAAAGTGTGAGTGAATTGCAATTAGTTTTGCTCTGCATAACATGATTTAGGCAATAGTTCGGAAAATTGAGTATTGTGGTGAGTTTGAAAACGATTCTCATGAATGAGGGTAAACAAGAGATGATGGGATTAGTGAAAGGGATTAATGTGCTTAAAATAATTACCTGGACATGGGCAAGAGTATGATTTAAAATCACATGAATCCTCATGGTCAGTTTTATCGGAACAAGTAAGATTAAGAAGGCACCCTTGAGATGAGTATTTACAGGGGAACAGCAAATTCATAGCAAGTTTCTCCATTTGAAGATTACGTATGTTATTTGAAATAGGAATACGACAAGTGGGGCAATTAGTTAATTGTTTGCGACACGCAGAGCACAAAAGATGTCCATTTTGACACTGAAGAATAGGAGGAAGAACGTAATCAAAACAAACAGGGCATTCAAACAGAGAAGTCAGTTCAGATGGTTGTGTTTTAATCAAAGGTAATTCTTGGCTTGCAGAGCAAGATATACCAGGAGCTCCAGATCCAGCTGCAATGATGGAAGGTGGTGGAACAATATGAGGAAAATTTTTGGTATCACTGGCACTGAAACTATTCATATGGTTATCATTAGCTGCGAAGGTGGAGAGAAAACAGAAAAGAAAGTGAAAATGTAAACAAATGAAAGATGAAAGAAGATGATGAATGAAAATAGATAAAGGTATGGAATGTAAAGGTATTTCAAAAGTAAAACAATCAAGAAAAAAAGGTAAACAGATTTACCAGAAAATGAACAAAAAGAGAACAAATGAAAGGGTTATTTTGGGCAAGCAGGAGAGAGAGAGAAAGAGATGTAAAGAGAAAGGAGAAAAAATAGAAGCAAAAACTTGTTTTGTCAAAACTTACGTCTCATCATTATTGGACTTCTTTCAATGACCAATTTAGAACTTATCTTAAAAAGGGTTTGATGGTTTCCTAATCTTTATGGAGTTGGCTAAAAACAAAAACTAAATTAATTAAACCATGAATAATTAGAAATTAGCTCGGATTGAAAATAAAAAATCAAGTAAAATATATAATATTGAGCCTTACTATAAAATATAAAGCTTAACAAGCCGAAAGTGAAACAACAAACGCCATTTTCAACAAATGAGCCGTTTCCAGGGAGACGGCATAAAAATGTTATTTGGAGCGGCAAACATAAATAAATTGTTTTCATTATAAAACAGTAAAACACAGAAATTAGACTTTTACTAATTTAAAAGATCATTTTTTAGATAATCATAATGATTGCAATTCATTCCAAAAATTCATATCATCTAAAAAATCTAAATTTATTTAGTGCAATCAAGCTTACTTTAATTATGGAAAAATGAATAGTTCTGATCAAGTCTTTCTATACCTCGAAGCCTTTTAATTGTAATAAACCAGATGAGTAGAGTGATAATTACAATTTTAACTAAATTGATATATGCCTGCCCAGAGTTATCATTTTTATTTCAAAAATTCAATTTCCAAAGATTCGTAAACATAGAGAAATTACGAGTTTTTTGCACAATTCAAAGATTACTTTTAGCCATAAAGTATGAAAGTAATTTTTAGTCTAATAAATTAGATTTTGTTAAAAAAGATAAACAAAAAATGAGAAGCAAAATCATAAATCCTCAAAATCAAGAAAAAGATGATTCGCATTTTTGGAACTAAATTTGGAAAAAACATTTTATTAAAAATTAATTCAGTCATCACATGAAAAGAAAAGATTTAAGCTTTTGATGGTAACTAGGTAAAAACCAGTGTCGAGTTTATGAATGTTTTGTTTTGGTGAAATATCGATGTATTAAAAAGAGAAAGACAATTTGGTTATTATTTTAACCACATCGCCAAATACATGGTGTTAAATAAGGTCCTTTATAGTTAGAAGGTTGAGATTTTCCGTTTTGGGGGAGTAGAGGCGATGATAAATGAGTTCGATTAAGATATTCGTCACTTCCATCACAGCAATCACAAATGCCATCATTTACCATACTTGAAGGAATGCTTTCATGGCCATCAAATGTCTTTACAACACAGTGGAATCTACAAGAAGGAAAAATAAACGCATTGTTATCATTGGAAAATTTAAATGCGTTGCATGCGATCAAGCTTACTTGAATTGTGGACACGCATCAGTTGATGGTTCATCACTTCCATCTTGACAATCACAATAATCGTCATTAACTTGATTATAAGGTATTTCTTCTCCACTTTTAAGGCATCTAAATTTTGAATCTTTGTCCTCGTACAATTTAAAATCATATTTACTAACACCTAAAATAATTTTACCTAAAGGTTGTTTAAACTTTGCCTTTCTTTTAGAAGACTTTACTTTATCATTTGCAAAGTGGTTAACTCTAGGTTTTGCTTTTAGAGCAGCTTGCTCCTCGTCATCAGGGTCGACATAAAGGTATTTACTCCTCTCTCTGACACGGACTTTTTCTGTTTCGGTCACTGCTGAAGATAATGAGGTGATGATAAACAACTGATATAAAAGGTAAACTGTACAAAACACCAAAGCAACAATAAAAACGCGTTTCCTACGAAACACTTTAGATATCAGTGTATTTTTAATCATTTTAATGTATATCCACCTGCGAACACAAACATCGTTGAAAAGAGTGAGCAATTAATTAAAACTACGTTAATAATTGATAATCGTTAAATATGAGTGTAATAATAACATTGTTATTCACTGAAAATACATGAATCCGTTTCCAAGGAAATGGCATTAAGTTGTTTACTCTTTAACGCGCTAAACACAAATTTTATGATATTTATAACAAAAATAACATCCAACAATCAAAAAGTCTTTGATTAAACAATGAATTGTGTGCTTGTGTCCTTTAATAAATCTAAAATGCGCGCCAATAATAAACTATTCAATTCAATCTTTTATATGTCATTTTTAAAAATTATTTTATATAAATATTAATAAATTCAGTCATTACATAATAATGAACACTCAAACTTTTGACTTTTCCCAGAGAAAAATCAGTATAAAATTTGATTTTCGTAATACAATGTATAGTTACAATAAATTAAGAAAGTTAATGATTTTACATTTTGATAGGAAAATAGGAAATATTTAGATTACCAAATGAAAATTTTCATTTGTATTATTTTATGCTAAATGAGATGGATTCAATTTTAAATGACCCTCTTTTGGTTACCTTAAAGGTTTTGCATACATTGTTTATCCTTGAATCCCAGTCAGAATAGCTGAGGTTTTCCACATTCTATTAACTGTTTGATTATCTCGACAAAGCTTAGGTAGTGTGAAAAATTTACCATTAGTGAAAAATTTACCAGTATCTTGTGATAATTTAGGCTCAGTGGCAACATATAACATTGTCTCTGATCCTTGATCCAAAGTAATGGAAATACAAGTCATTGCAGTGAGTTTGGCCATAACTTTCATGTAAAAAGGATGATGTTCACGAACAATATCTGTTTTAATTGACCCTGGGTGAAGTGAATTAACTGTTACTCCAGAGCCTTTAAGCTGTTTTGCCAAAGTCTGTGCAAAGGCAACATTGGCCCACTTGGTTACTGCGTAATTGGTGAACCCAGAGTAATGTTTTTGTGAATTGAGGTTATCAAAGTCAACCCGAGTTGTCATAAAGGCAAGGTCCGAAGCAACCACAACTACTCGTGATGGAGCAGATTTCTTGAGAATTGGAAGAAGCAGATGAGTCAACAGAAAAGGACCCAAATGATTGACCTGGAAACACAGTTCATGTCCATCTTCTGTAATCCTTTTATCAGCTGGGCTCACCAAGCCTGCATTATTGATCAATATATCCAGTCGAGAATGAGTTGCCATAAAAACAGTAGCAAAGGACCGAATGGACGAGAATGATGCTAGATCCAGATGTAAAAAGTGAACATCTTCATTTCCAGTTTCTTGACGGATACTTTGAACGACTTCTTGGCTCATTGATTCATCTCGAGCAGCTATGATTACTTTTGCACCACGAAGAGCCAATTTTTTTGCAGCTTCTTTACCGATTCCTCTGTTGGCACCGGTAACAATGGCCACTTTACCATCTAAACGTATATTTGGGTCACTTCTTCTTACAAAAAATCCGTTATAAAAACCGGACAAGATGATTCCAATCCAAATACATAGTAAATCAATTTGGTAAATAATTTCTTTCACAACTTTAGATAAATAAACACTGATTTTTACTGATTCTGGTGTAGACTTCATCGTAATTTTTGAAGATAGCACCGACTTCAAGGAGAAAAAACGTAATGTTTTCGATTTCAGTGAAAAAAGACTTTAATCAAACAAATTATTTACAATATTTGACCTGAATGTGTGAAGGAGAAGAAGAAAAGTTGTTCTCTCAGTTCAACTCATCTAATCGGGTCATTTGAAAGTGAAATGAAAGTACAGACTTCTCAAAACAGGAAGCATCTTTCAACAATCAGGTTCATGAAAGTTTATGAAAGGGTCATTAATGGAATTGTTATAAACTTTCAAGATTACAATAGTCTACAATCAAACTAATCTTTTCAAGCTTGTAATTGGTCTTGGTGGCAAATATTTTGATTTCTTTAATATTCGGATATTTCTTATTGGACAGAACTAGGTGTTGTCATTAAATCAATTGACAAGTCATTCAATTTAATAATCCGATTGCTGTTTATCGCATTTTTAGGTCCCAATAAATGGTAGAGAGTAAAAAGGATAAACCTTGCATCATATAAATCAGGTCGATCTTCATATTCAACGGATGGGTTCAGCATGTCTTCATTATCAATTGAGTGAAGTAATTTATTTCTTGAGAACTCGCAGGTCAAAATGGTTCATGACCTTTCGAGTATCATACGATAAATAAATCAAAGGCTAAATAAGCAAAAGATGAAAAATGGTGAAAATTTGACTTCATAAGTTTTGTCATCTCAAAAAACAAAGAGGAAAATCACAAAATTTTTCAGGAGAGGTTCCTATTAAACATTGAGGCGAATTAATCGTTCAGAGCGAAACAGAATTCCCTTTTGTTTCAGACATCTGTGAGTTTCGTTCATTCAATTCATCAATCATCAGTAAAATCGACAATTCACTTGTGATTGAACTTTCTTTTAGGTACACCGGAGACATAAATTCCTAGTTTCTACTTCTTTTCAGCATTAGACACAAAATTGGTGAAAAATGCTGGTAATCAATGAAGTCAATAAATAAAGATAATAATGAAGTGTCTATGGGACAATAGATAAAAATAATTAATTAAAATTAGGTTTTTTAATTTTTAAACGAGAATCAGGTAATTTAAGTTAGTGGCTCCACCACTCGACTATTAATAAATGTGAAAATTTTCACCGGATTTACCACATTTACCAATTGGATTGTTGTTGGTAAACTGCTTATTTAATTAATTTATTATATTGTGATTTTAACTGTCAAGTAAGTTATTAATTAAGTTACATATTTAATTTTGTTTGCTTGAATATAATGTAAAGCTGGCTTTTGTCCCACCTGTTTATGATAACAATTTTTAGCGTTTTAACTCCGAGTCACGCTTACACGCAGTTTGTTGTCATCAGCATTTTCACTCGGATCGTCCTTCTATTTAATTACTATTTCCATTCCATCTTGCTTTTCGTTCTTAGTGTTTACATTGATTTCTCTTGTGTGTTCTCACTTATTCCGTGTGTCTTCATAATCAAGAACCGACTTTTCCCTCAATTCAACTTTCTAACCTAGCTCTACTGTCTTATTTTTCTCAGTTTACAGGTTATACGTATACGGAACTATTTATTTAAACCAAGATGTCTGATCGAAAGACAAAGCGAAAAGAAAAGTTGGCCAAGCAACTTGAAGAACAAATGAAAGAATTGGCCCTTGAGAACTCAGCCTTTTCAGTTTCTACGTCAAACAATCAAAATGCACAAGCTATTGACAATGCTATAAAGATAGAAAATTTTTCTATAAGTGCTGGTGGTAAAGAACTTTTTGTTAATGCCTCTTTAAATATTACATTTGGTCGACGATATGGTTTAGTTGGTCCTAATGGTCACGGAAAGACAACCCTTCTTCGTCATATGGCTGAAAAAAAAGATCTAGGTCTACCACCTGATTTACATGTACTCTTATGTGAGCAAGAAGTTATGGCGGATGAAACTCCCGCTGTTGAAGTATTATTGAAAAGTGACGACCGTATAACCAAACTTCAAAAAGAGCTAGAAGATTTACAGAATGCTGACAATCCAGACCAAGATCGTATCAATGAAATTTACACTGAATTAAATGCTCTCGGTGCGGACTCAGCTGAAGCAAGGGCCAGAAGGATTCTTGCTGGTTTAGGTTTTTCGACCAAAGAAATGCAGGATCGACCCACTAAAAACTTCTCTGGAGGTTGGAGAATGAGAGTTTCACTTGCTCGTGCCCTGTTCATTGAACCGACTCTTTTATTACTTGACGAACCTACCAACCATTTAGATCTTAATGCCGTCATTTGGTTAGATAACTATTTACAAGGATGGAAAAAGACTTTACTAGTTGTATCTCACGACCAATCTTTCTTGGATAATGTTTGCTCAGATATAATTCATTTAGATCAAAAAAAGTTATACTCTTACAGAGGTAATTACACTCAATTCAAGAAGATGTACGTTCAGAAAAAATCCGAGCTTCAAAAAGAATATGAAAAGCAAGAGAAAAAGCTAAGAGAGCTCAAAAAGAAAGGAACCTCTGGTAAACAAGCCGAGAAATCGGTTAAAGAGCAACAATCACGTAAACAAGGCGAAGTACAAGTGGGTGAATTAATTCAAAGACCAAAAGATTATATAGTTAAATTTAGATTTACTGATCCGACACCCCTTAATCCTCCAATACTTGGTTTACATGATGTCGATTTCGCTTATAATCGTAATGGGCCTTTATTATTCACAAAGCTCAATTTTGGTGTTGATATGTCTAGTAGGATTGCCATTGTAGGACCTAATGGTGTGGGAAAATCCACCTTTTTGAAACTATTATCCGGTGAATTAGAGCCACTTTCTGGTGAATTGCGAGCCAATCATCGAGCCAGAATTTCGAAATTTGATCAACATTCAGGAGAACATTTAAACCCAGAAGAAACTCCAACCGAATTTCTTATGCGTATCTTCAATAAAACGTATCAAGAAGCTCGTAAACAGTTAGGATCATTCGGATTGGTTGGTCATGCTCATACAATCCCATGTGGTCAACTCAGTGGAGGTCAAAAAAGTCGTGTAGCTTTGTGTGAAATGGCCCTTAAAGGACCACATATTTTAATTATGGACGAACCTACGAATAACTTGGATCTAGAGTCTATCGATGCTTTAGCCGATGCAATCAACAAATTTTCAGGTGGAGTTGTTATTGTTACCCACGATGAAAGACTTATAAGAGAAACGGAATGTCAACTTTGGGTTGTTGAGAATAAAACGATTGAAGAAATTGATGGTGACTTCGATGACTACAGAGAAGAACTTCTTAATGCTCTTGGAGAGACTGTTAATAATCCTTCGATTTCAGCTAAATTAGCTGGTGCCATTTAATGATTGTGTTTCTTAGGTTGATTGGTCATTACTGCTGCTTTCAATGAGCAGTTTGTTTTTTTTGTATTGTTTTCTCAAGAAAAAAATTACTAAACCTTTTAACATCGAAAAAATATAATAAAGAATTATGTTGAAGGACAAAAATTGTTTGATAAAAAATAGATTTCAATTGTCCATGAAATCAAGAATTTTTTCATTGATGAATTGATCAGATCCGAAATCTTTCAGTTCAAGTCTATAACTTATCTATTAATAAATAAATTGCCAATGAGAATCAGCAGAACTCAAAGTTACCTGGTTACTATAAAACATCAATTAAAATTGCAAAAACTTGTATTTTTGTTGATTAATGTTTATCAAACTAGCTTTTGAGTGTTAAAAAGCTAATTCTAATAACACATTGATCACTATGAAAACTAAAATATTTGTAACTCGAGACTCGCAATTAGATATCATTTATCAAAAAATTGAAGGATCATTGAATAGTAACCAGACAATTAAAGCTCACCTCAATTTAGCCCAAAAAGATGGTTATAAACACAGAATCCGTATTCAAAGCATTTCGCGGGAATAAATACTTTTCGCATTGACGTAAATCATGATTTATTGTAAACAATTTTTAATTATAAAATCTCATTTATTGAGCAGTCAATAGATTCAGCGTGTTGTCGAAGGCCTAAAAATGAACTGAATTTTTAGCCGTGTTTAAATATCATATTTTTCACCAAGGAAAAGCCTTATTCTGTTATTTTAATTTTAATTTTGAATCGGTGACAATGAAAGTTGAAGGATTTTATTTGGTTTGTATAATTTTGAAGAGATTCATTTGACGATAATTTTGCGGTCACACTTGCTCTTGTTAAATGAAGTTTGATTAAATTCAAGGTTTTGGGGAAATTGTAGGAATCGCTATTCTAAAATCGGCTAGAAGAATGAAATCCCTCAAAATTCCAGATAAGAGCAAATATTGAAAATTTTATAAAAAATACAGAAGTTTCAATTATTAATGCCATTAATCATAGTAGGTAACATTCAGGTTTTTTCAACTGAAATTCATTATAAAACTGAACAAATGATGAAGGAGATTCTCTATGTTAGCTTTAATTAGTCACAGTTACATTTCTATTAAATTAGTAACCAGTAACTTAATGACAGTAAGCCAACTTTAGTAGACGAGATAGGCATTAAAGGACAGTCTATTTCCAATTAATTTAATACTTAGTTTTAATTACCGTGCTTCAAGAGATTTAAAAAAACCAAAATCATGGTTAAAAAGGTCCATAAATGTTGTGCCATTGTCATAAATAGATTGAGATCATACGTTGATATAACAAATAAGTTAGTTTTCAATACTTCCAGTCTACAGATTTAATTCTGGTACATTGTATCATGTTAGTCCATTTTATTTTAGGATTGTCTATATTTACATTAGTGACTGGTGACTGTTCAATACCAACTTTACCCAAAGATGGATTTTTCATGACCTGCGGAACGCTAACTGGCTCCATTTGCCAGATTTTTTGTCGATATACGAATAAAGTTTTAATAAAAAAATGTGCCGCCAATGGGACTTGGGTTGGTGATACTTTCGACTGCACAGGTAATTATATTTTCTTGTGTCAAAGCTCATGGTTTCAATTTTATTTTGTGTATTCCTTTAGACGATGATGATGATGATTGTGAGAAAAGTTTAAAGGCTCCTGCCAATGGATCAATCGTCGGTGCTTGTAATAAAAATTATGGATCCGTTTGTGTCTTCAAATGTAATACTGGTTTTGATCTTGTAGGATCAGCACAAGTTTATTGTTTGGGACAATGGACTACATCTGAGCCAACCTGTGTTAAAGCCGGGGCAACCAATTCAACAGTTAAATGTTCAGCCTTAAACCCACCAGCAAACGGTCATTTGGATGGTAGATGTTATCAAGGATCGCCAGTTGGTTCAGTGTGTAACTTTGTCTGTTCATCAGGTTATACTCTCGTCGGTTCTTCATCATCAATCTGTTTAGCCAACGGCCAATGGAGCGCTTGGGCACCATCTTGTAATAAACCATCAACAACTAAAGCACCAGATAACAACAGTCAAAATCCCTTTACATTCCCAGCCCAAACTACTAGTAAACCAACTTGGCCCAGCCAACCAAGTCAGCAAACAACAGTTAGTCCAGGTAAATGTTCATCAGTGAAAGACGTTGAGAATGGAAGACTTAAAGGCGATTGTCAACCAGGAATTAAAACCCGTACGTGTTCAGTTGTGTGTCGCTTCGGTTACTACGCAGATGGAGGGTCGAAGTCAATAACTTGTCAAGAAAATGGTCAATGGTCTGGTAAATTATCGTCCTGTAAACGTAAGTGATTATAAAACATATAGCAATGTTATTAAAAAGACACAACTAACACATTTGTAACAATTTGCACAAGTTGACACAAACACTGCAAGAGAAATGGACAAAAACGGGTAAAAGCTAATTTCTTTCAGATTTAAACTCTGTTGGTTTGTAAAGATATGAAAACTGAATCCGTTTGTGCAATTTAAAAGTTTCTCTGACCTTTAGTTATCGAGAAAATCGCGATCAAAGTTGAAACTTCGATCGCCTTTTGTACAACTGTGTGACCAGATTTTTTCATGAAACTAATTTTGCTGATGTAGTTTTTGATGGCCTACAAGAAAATGAACTTATTTTGAGGAATAAAACTTTTATTTTTCTTTAAAACAGATTAGTTCGATTTTTAATTAAACCTGTCGCATTCTGTGCCGAACATAGTTAGAGATCTGAAACTTTCCATTCGTGTATAAAAATTGTTAGCACACATCATGGGTTGAATAAGCTTCTCCATCTGCTAACAGTTCTCTTGATTTTGGCTTTTGAACTGAAAACTTATACCCTCGATATTTCGAACATGCAAGTACCTACAGCCATCATTTCTTCACCAATCACCAGTCACATTATGGGCTATAACAGCATATAACTGAACACTCAATAAAATCTGAGCTAATTCACTTAATAATGAAGATCTCTTCAGTGCACAAGATTTGTGTTTGGTAAACATTCAACTTTAAAATCTAAGTCTCAAATCTGAAAACATAAATAATGTAATGCTATAACTTTTTTCGTAGGATTTTGAATAATTTTGTATTTCAGTGTATTATAGCCCATAAAAATATCTAGCGATTGGTTAAAGAATGATGATCGTAGGTGGAACCATGCTCGAAATATTGAGGCCCAAAGTTCTTAGACAAATGGCCAAAAATCAAGAGAACTATCGGTTAAATTGAAAAAAGTATTGAGCACAAGATGTGAAATAAAAATTTATCAACTTAACATAAAGTTCTAGTTCTCTAAATATTACGGTCACAGAATGCGACAGGTTTAACTAAAAATCGAACTTGATTTATTTTAAAGGTTTATTTAAAAATGTAAAAACTTATTTCTCAAAATAAGACCATTTTCTGACTGTTCATCAAAATCTACATCTTTGAAATGAATTTGATGAAAAAATCTGCTTCCATAGCTGAGCAAAAAGCGATCAAAGTTTCAACTTTGACCTCGATTTTCTCGAAAAAATACCATCGCATGAAATAATTATTAGTACCAATGAACTCAGTTTTTAATTCCCTACAACCTTGCAAATTTTCAACTCTTCATTTAAACATTCGAGCCTTTTGCAGTACTTTTTGCATTTCATTTGTAAGTTTAACCAGAAAATTGGTTTAAAAACCAAGAAATGGGTTAAGATGAGTTTATTTTGTTTAATAAGTTGTTTCTTCTACATTCTGAACCCAAAAAAAATGAACCAAATGCAATAATGGAAATTTTTCGAATGGAATCAAACAATTGATTAGTAAAGGATTAGATTGGTGAAAGAATTATGACTTTAGATGCAACCATACTCGAAATATCGAGGGTATAAGTTTTCAGTTCAAAAGCCAAAATCAAGAGAACTGTTAGCAGATGGAGAAGCTTATTCAACCCATGATGTGTGCTAACAATTTTTATACACGAATGGAAAGTTTCAGATCTCTAACCCTTTTCGTCACAGAATGCGACAGGTTTGACTAAAAATCGATCTAATCTATTTTACAGAAAACAAAAAGTTTTATTGCTCAAAATAAATGCAATTTCTTATTAGCCATCAAAAGTTACACCAGGAAGGTGCGTTTCGTCAAAAGATCTGATCGCACAGTTGTACAAAAAGCGATCGAAGTTTCAAATTTGATCGCGATTTTCTCGATAACTATTAGTAAGAGAAACTTTTAAATTGCTCCAATGGATTAATTTTTCATGTCCTTACATCTCAACGTCATCTAAAATTGAAAGAAATTAATTTTTACCCGTTTTCACCCACTTCTGTTCATTCGTTCATTTGTGCATAAATGTATTCATCGTGTTAATGTTGTCTTTTTAATTACAACCATAGCAAACTATTTTGTGGGTTAACAATAAAATTGAACTTATTTTCAATTCTTCTCTCATAGGTGCGCAATATTTACTAGTCCAGACCTGGTATTGGTGAAGGAAAACGTCTGATGAAGGATTTTATTTTAAATATTAATACAAATTATTTTCACACTTTATGAAACTAAATTGGTAACTTAACGACGCGAGGAGTTTACAGCCTTTTTTAACTAATTTACTCAACGGTGTATTAAACTTGTAGCCTTAAAGTCATTTTTACATGTCAAATGGAAAATCTCATTTCTCTTTGGAACAACTTTTTAATTTCTTTTCATTCATCATTTTCAAATTAATTTCTCGCAGTGAACCGGAATCTTTCAAGCTACAGTGCTAAAACTTAACAACTGTTACTCTAGTATCTGAACAATTTTCAGTGAAAGCAAGGTTTCAATAAAGGTTCGCAGTCATCTCATGCCATATATTATTGGCATTCACCTTTTATGAAAACTGTGCTTTATTGATGTTTTTCTGGTTCTCATGTAAACATCATAGCAGTTAAATTATGTTTAATAGCACCAAGATTAATCATAACAGCTTCCTTCAGTTACTTAACATTTAAATTGCACGGTTGAAGGGCAATCCAATTTAACAAATTGTGTAAATTGAGCTAATTTATGCTTTCTAGCTTTAACATATTAACCCATAACACATCACAATTAAATTACGAGTTTTTAAAATATGAAAATAAAAAATCTCACATAAATAACAATACATTGACTTTATTGAACACAATAAGTTGGTTAAGCGTTGAAAATGTAGTGAAAATTAAATTAAAAAAGCAAGACAGTAAAAATTAGCTGAACAGGATAAAAACAAAATTAAAATTAATCGCTGATAAGATGGTAGGTTCGGCAGCAATCCGATTGTAATTCAAATTACTATCCAAGAATTGGGTTTGTTGACAATCAGGTTTGTGTATTGCAGGTTAAATGAAACATTGGTAAAAACAATAATGGAGTGATGATGGAAACGAGAAATGAAACAATTGTAACATCTCTGTAAATAATCACGAATCTCCGTACAATTTGATGGCAGCGTAAGCAATCAAAGCTATTATACAGAAGACAACAACACCGATGGCGAAATTGGTTGCAAACCAACTCATCCTTCCAAGTCCAGGTCTATCACTATTGGATTCAATTTCAAAGGAATCAGATAAATCTTGTTTCCTTTGGATATCTTTAGTTTCACGACCCATTATTAAACTGTAAATCAACCCAAAATGTAATCCAAACAATAAGCTTCAAAACAATTTTACCCAAAATCATACAAAAGGTAACCTTGCCGTAGAGTCCAGGAATGGTGAAAAATTATTGTTGAATATACTGATGTTTAAACCAACGATGAATACAGTAAAATAGTAAGAACAATTAACAGTTAAATTAAAGTTGATTCACTGAGAGAAACTTGAAAATTGACTGTTGAATAGCTGGTTGAGTGATGAAAAATGATGATAGTGAAGGTTGGTGTAGAGCTGTTACAGTGAGAATAGGTTTGTAAGGTGAAAAATAAAATTTAACTCAATGGTAATGTGATTATCCTTTTCTCTCAAACAGTTGAACATGAAGCGAATCAAATATAATTAACTGTTGTATTTAGATAGGGAAATTTGAAAAAATTAACTCGCAATCAACAATCCAAGTTAGAGTGACAAAGATACAAGTAAAACCACAACAACGGCCAGGCGATTGTTACAAGGAAACTTGTTGTACTGTGTTAATTTTTTCAATAGGAATCAAACATCCGTTTGGGGTTGAGATGAGATGCAATGATGAAGAGTGAATTGATGATGATGATGATGATAATGAGTGAGAGTGAGAGAGAGAAAGACTGAAATTGTCGACAGATTAATGGTAAAAGGCACTAAATAATGGCGACAGAGCAAACAGTAAACTAAGGGAAGAGCAAGGACAATTGTGCTAATATAATTATTGTTGCCTTGTTTTGTATTAATGTTGTTTCGCGATTGTTACATGTTTATCATTTTCACTGGTTACCAAGTAAATTCCGGAAATAGTTATCAGTTAATATTCAATCTTAATATCTTGACATTATACTTATTTGTGTCCCTTTGTCTTGATTATCAAAAAGGGATGCTGATTGTTGATACAATCAAAGTTATTGTTTCCGTTGTATTGCTATGACATTATTATGAGTTACCTGTTGATTAGCTGTTTTAGTTGAGTTAGGATTGCCTTTTAATGTTTGGGTTTTATGGGTTTGAGAGCGCTTTTGGTTTCAGTATTGGCCATTCAATTATTGATGGTCATTCAATGATTTATGACTCAATTTAGGTTGTAATACATGGAGTTTGAAGTCTAAATCATTGAGGTTGAGGGAAATGTAGTTAATTTAGATGAATTGAACTGGAGGATTTTTCTCGCTATCATTAGGCCTTCCTAATGGACTCAATTGAATTAATTATTGTGCTCCATTTTTGTCAGAATTATATGATTTTATTTAAATCAATGAGAGATTTTGTTTGATTATCTTTATTTTGAAATGTTATTTAGCTGTAAAAGCTAATTTTGTGCAAGGTTTTTTGGTAGGCTTTCAATTATCCTCAGTGCTTACGGATTTGCTATTTTTTGTGTGCTTTACGGGAAATTACCATTCAATTGAACAGTTCATTTCCAATTTTTGCCTTATCCTTTTAATTACTAACCTTAATTATTGTTAGTGTTTACTCAGCTAACAAATTGTTTCTCCTTATTCAGCATGGAAGCAAATTTTACTTTAAAAATACCTCGATGTCATCTGCAACAGGTTTATGCTAAATTATCAAATATCATTCCGTTAAGATTTTCCTGGCTTTTTAATCGATTAGAGATGTTTCTGACCTCAGCCTATTTATATTATTTAGAGATATATTCATGAGGTACATAATAAAATCTCAGAAGCTAGTTAGCGCAAAACGATTCAAGATTGATTTGAATCTTGATACGACCGAGGTAAGTCCACTTTAAAAATTACAATTTCATAGCGAAAATCATTCCATGTTTTCCTCTATTTTGTGAAAAGCACATTTGAAATCTTAAGATTATTTTCAATGACAGTCATTTAAGTTGCGTGAAAATGAACAATAAAATGATTAGCCACGGAAGTCCTTCTGTTAGTTGATAGTTGGAGAAAAGATTTCAAAATATTAAAAAATTAAATTCGCACAAAACCAAAAACATTTACTTGATTGATCCAGTCATTCATGAAATTAAGTAACATTGACCAATAAAAATCATTGCATTTGATAAGACTTACCTCTTTCATGATTGCGAAGTACATATTCATGTATGGAAGTTAGGTTTGTCTGGTTCGCTGGGAGGAAATTTAAATATTAACAATGTTCTAGTCTATTTTTAATCTTACCTTTACTGTTTGAGGTACCTTTGGGTCATAAGTAAACTCAAACAACTGAAGATTTAAAAATGCTGTGTCAATCAACTCAATTAGAAAAACAACAATCATAATCAGATTCAAGCAAAGAGTAATATAACAAGAGGCTGCGCTTAATGTATTACATTGATAAGGGAGATAAGTAGGGAAAGACAGCAGGGCGCGATGGCGCCACTAGTAAATTACAGCCAATCAACGGGAAAATACATGTTTTGGACTGTATTACAGTTGACTCTATGGGTTTTCAATTATTATGGCTGTAATACAGTCAACTATATGCATTTACCCATTAATTTACTGTAATACAGTAATTTATATGTATTTTCTGGCTGATGGACTGTATTCATCAAACTTATGCACTGTAAACTCAAATTGAAATGCAATTATTAAACAATTATGATTTATTTAACATTATGCCATTAATTTTTGAAGAATATTAGATGAACTTCACTTATTTGCCGATTATAACGATTTATTAAGATTCTAACTTTATCATAACTATCAGTTTGTATGTCATTAGTAAAAGAGGTTCCTACCCAAAACGCCTGGATATAAGTCGATTTTGCTTC